CCTCCCTCCCAAATCGGCACACCCTTCACACAGGTCGTGCCCCAGAGGAATGCAGTTTCACGTGCGACACTGGTGGGAATAATCGCATCACGTCACGCCCCCCTGCGTATGTTGACTGTCTCTTCGCACGGATTGCACCCCACTGGGAGCCCCACAAACAGCCCCATTGCCAAGGTTCGCATCCCGCGGTCCCGTTCATGTCGGCACACCCCTTACCTGGATCGTGAAGTCTGGGCGTCTTGGGTGCCTCTCGGCGCGCGGGCTGCGGCGGCGCGGGGTCTTGGTTGCCCCTCTCCATCCTTCTCCTCCTTCTTCCAATCCTCCTCCTCCTCCTCCTCCTCCTGATCATCCCACTCCTCCTCCTCTCCCCCCGTCCTCCTCTGTCCCCTGTCTCCGACGACTGGAGATTTTATGATCTCGCGTTTATCGTTACCCCCGTGGGGACGACGACGACGACGAGGGTGACGACGACGATGGCCAGGGGGAGGAGGAGGAGGAGGAGGAGGAGGAGGAGGAGGAGGAGGAGGAGGAGGAAGAGGAGGAGGAGGAGGAGGAGGAGGAGGAGGAGGAGGAGGAGGAGGAGGAGGCGGAGGTGGAGGAGGAGGGGGGTCCTGAGGGTCCTGATGATGCGGCCCATGTCTGTATGCCCTGGCACGCTGGCCACGTTGCCTCAGCCCTCCCGAAGCAGCGGAGGCCGAGCCCCGATGGGCCCAACCGGTACGATGGGATTATGGGCTGCTCGGCCTACGCCGAGAAGCCGTGCTGAGCCAATGCCCAGCGAGCAAAACGAGGGAACCCAGCGTGACGACAGTCCACCAGCACGGCGGCCGCAGGCGAGGCGAGTCCAGCCGTGGCGACGTAAGAGACCCAGCGGCCACTCAACGGCAGCCGCCGCAAAACTTCGAGGCATAGCCCGCCGTTGCGACGAGTGCGCACGTACAGAGCCGCCCCCTCAGCTCGCGCCCAGGCATCCCGCGCGACTGGGACTACACGTCGAAGCGCAACAGCCTAGACCTCCTGGGACTCGCCGCTGTCCAAGAGGCTGATGATGATGATGCAAGCCCGTGGAGACCAGGTCAAGCCTGGGCACGACAACACACTCAGGCCTGGGGGAACTTGCCACCACTCTTGGGGGGAAGACCGCGAGCCAACCTGGACAAGACCTCCCTCCCAGCCTTCGTGGGGGGACGATCAGTCTTACAGGGTTTGGCCAGGCTTTGCACATTGCGCCCACTGGTATGGGCACCACGGTGCTCGCAAAACAGCACACCGCGGAGCACATTCAACCTATGATTGCCCGCGCACGAAGGATACAAGGGGTGCGCGAGCGGATCAGAGGAAAGGTGAGCGGGCCCGAGACAGGGACCAGGGCAGAAGTCCTGGACACGGCCCTTCAATTTGAACCGACGCACACAGATCTGGCAGCGGAGAGCCGTACCCTTCAAGGTCGGCTCATGACCCGCAAACCTCAATCTCCTAAGGCGGACCTGGAAGGCTGGGAAAGGAGGGGGCCGAGGGGGAGGACGGCCAAGCCGATCAGAACCACGGCGGGGGTTCTGCTCCACAACCTCCCGATGCACCGCCAGAAGGCGGTCAAGCGTGTGAGACGTGACACGATCAACAAACGCAGTCACATCAACTTGCTCGGGGGAGGGGGCCACGCGTTCAGTCGCCCACCCCGCAAAGAAATCAGCACACCAATTCAGGAACAACTCCTCCTCCCCAGTGGCGAATTGGGCTCTCTGGTGGGTCGTCGAGTGGCTCTTGGTCCACAGGACGTCGACAGAACCAGGACCACGAGCGTCCAAGGCCGACCAGATCCGAACCCACAGATCGAGCATCGAGCTGCTAGCGACGATCTGAGCTCGTGGCTGCCTTAGCCCTCTCACCAAGGGCAAATAATCAGAGTAGCACAATATATCACCCACAGTATGGCTCAGAACCATGATAAATGCATAAAATTCAGCTCGGGGACTAGACTGCTCAAAGGTAGGAAGACCACCACACATAATGGTATCCAGCTGCAGCGAGAGACCATCTGGAACCCCAAGACTGACAATAGCCCAACCGCAACGCCTCAATCTCTTATCTCTGGCGTGAACCCCTCCAGAACCATCGAGGCCCCACACACCTCCAGGAACCCGACGCTGAGCCCTCAGGGTGCCCCATGTCCAGGTACGAGCAGAGGGTGGAGGCAGGTGGCCACAAGATGCATCAAGGCAGGGTACCCCGAGAGTAAAGAAGGCACTATGAGGGTCAGCAGCAAGGGCATCATGAACCAAATATTCACTATTCTCAATACTCGGATCAGTCAAGTACTGGTTACTCGGACATCCCCAACAACGGTGCAGAGGTGTTTCCCGCGCGTCACCACATCGGAAACAACGGCCTGAGGTCAAATATCCACAGTCCTGCAGACGCGACTCGGGCCAGGCACCTCCGACAGCAATCGAAATCCAAAGGGCGGCGCCCTTAAAGTCGCCATCGTCGAGCAACTTCTTGTGCTTGGCACGAAGCACAGTGAGGTCAGCACCTGTCTCTAGGCCTTGCCCGCAGAAGTGCTGAGCGGCCTTGGCCCAGACAATGGACGAGCAAGGCTCGCGGGCAGCCGAGGTAAGATGATATCTGAAATCTGCATCAGCCAACCTAAGCGTGACACCAACACTTGCACGCCACTCATCAACATGTCGTGGATCCAGAACAGTAGCACACAGGGCTGCAATGGGACCTCGAACGAGACGCCAACGACTCGACTCCTGTGGCTTACCGATCGTGTCGTGCAGGGCCTCCCAGACTCTCCGAACTCCAGACCGAAGACCTTCAGGAAGAGAAACCCAAACTTCCGAAATCAGGGTAAGTTGTTCAACACGGAGCCGATAAACAGGGTCATCTTTAGTATCATGCAGCACCCGCAACACAGTGCTAACACAAGCCCCAGACGACCAAAATCCAGAGCACGCAGCAGCCGAGGATCTGAACTGCCCAATAGCACCTGCAGGAAGCCCAAGGAGAGCATGGCCCCAGGTACCCACAGCCAAAATGCTTGGCTTGAAAACCTTACGAGAAGCACCACAAAGCTTGGCAAGGTAACTCAACTTCCTGGCACGACGGAAAGCGAGCGAGCGTCTCTGCTGGACCTTCCAGGTGGATCGCCTTTTACTGGCAGTAGTGACAGATCCAAGATCCTTCACTCCATCTGCGAAAGAAATGGAGACTTCATATCTCCTGAACCCGTCCTGCAGGAGCCGCTGCAGCTCCACGGACGAGGCGACTGCAAGCGACTTAGAGCTGACAACACACCCCAGCTCAGAGATATCATGCTGAAAATCGGCAACGGCCTGGGGCAGGTAGCGGCAGATGAAAGCGACAGAGCCTTGCAGGTACTGTGTGATGTCGTCAACATACGACCTAATTGGGACACGGGCATGTGGGTGGTCTCCAGGTCCTCTGGGGACCCTATTATGAGCCTTCTCCAGTACCCCGTACAGGTAGCACTTGACCCAGGGCATACTCTGACAACAACCCGCCAAGATGGACTCACCAGAGGCCAACACCTTCGAAAGGCTCCCAGAAACTTCCAAAAGCCTCGGAGACGTGTGGATGAGGAGCCCCATGTACAACATGTGGGCGGGGTAATCTTGATTCACCGCCAAGTGCAGAAGCTTGCTGGGGCTCACGGAGTCAAAGAACTTCTCGAGGTCCCAGTGGAGGGCACAGGAGTGGAACCCACAGGTACGGGCCACTTCATGGGCCAACGCACGAAAGAGGGCAGCCTTCAAGGCCGCAGAGCCCTTGACCGCAGAGTCCCAGAAGTCAATGTGGGCCTTGTTCCAGTCATCGATGTCAAAGCCTCTGGCCTTGCAAAATATCCTGTAGATGCTGGGGCACTTCACGATTGCCCGCTCATCACATATAGACTTCGGCAGCATCGCCATGAGACAGACATAGCACTGAGGGGGGAAACATAATTTCTCCTCCACAGAACGCAAGATGCCAGTGAACACTTCGAGAGAACCCACTGGAGCGTCCAAAAGAGCACGAGGCGACCACATATCAACACCGAGAGCGGTCTTCGCCCTGAAGCAAGTACACGCACGAGCAACCTCAGAAACTTCGAGCAGGGGGGTATCTTCCAGAGCGACTAAGGCTTGTGACCTAAGTTCGCTCATGCCCGCATTCAAACAAGACAGCTGCTGTGCGGAAGGAGTCCACCAAGACGACCACTTATCTTCGCGATATCTCATCATATCCTTTGGGGTATTCACGATGTCTCCAGGAGTCTCCAAGCATTCAACCCAAACCTTTTCTTCAGCTTTCAGGTAACGATGAACAGGACTAGCTCCCCGAGGTAACGACGACGTCGACCAGGTTTTCATGCTACCCCTAGTCTTGGCATGAGCTAGGGACCATGATTTAGCACAAACATCACCTGCAGCGTCGGCGAGGTTTCGCAACGTAACTTCCGATCGTGGGGGGTTCTCAAGCATCTCCTTCCAACTCTCAGCGTCTTCTGGGCTGACGAGGGGCTCGATGTGAGCAAAGACGTCGGCCGCCAAGGCAGAGATAACAGTGCGATGCTGGCGAGCAGCATCAGAGAAAAGTGACTTGCATGTGGGCCGCCATAACTCATACAGTCGGCTGGCAACGAGAGACCAAACGGACAAGTCAGGATTCCGAAAACTCTGCGCCTGCACACTGCGAGTCATCAGAGAACAGTCCTTTCGCTTCAACATGGAACCACGACCAAGATATCTGTGTGGATCAGAAACAAGAGCGCACGCGCGTGAAAGAGCTCGCAACTCCATAGCACGAGACCAAATAAGATACTGCATCCCAAGACTCCTAGACAAGAACTCCTTCGAGTGCTCAGACATAGCCTCATAAAGGTCCTCAGGCATGACCAAGGGAGCCTCCAGGATGCTTTTGCCAGGGTCCCCAAGGCTTTGAGCCGCCGACATATAGGTGAGCCAGTGATTATCAGGGCCCAGGGCCTGAGGAACCTCCAGGGGCTTCACGCGAGTACACTGGGGCTCCACCATGGCCTCGAGGTCCAAGATCACGTCCAAGCACGCGTGCGTCCTGAATGGGGACAGGAGGTCGGCAGACACTTTGAGGTAAGGGAACAACAGGTGAGAGCACGCGACGTAATCAATCATCGTTTCCCCAACCGAACAGGTAAACTCAACGTTGCCAGGGGCCAGGGTCCGAGCGGACATCAGTTCCAAGACTCCAGCATCCTCCAGGAAATCAACCGACATGTTAAAATCGCCCACCAGGAACCATTGGATAGACAGACCCCGAACGAATTCAGCAACCGCACGCAGACGACAAGAGTTCACTCCAGAAACTCCAATGGATGGCACAAGGTAGATGACTCCAACAGCTACCGTACACGCCTTCAGACACAATTCGAGAAAGAACCAACATTCTCCTGCGCCCACTTGCTTAGCCCCTCGCGCTTGGACAAGAAACTTGCGAAAGCAGAGGCGTGGCTGGGCGACAGCAGCAACCCCTCCGTGAGTTCCCCCTCCAAGCGAGTCAAGAGCTTCCTGAAAGTCGGGTGACCACTTCATGTGGCGGCAATCCTTCTTGGCTCGAAAACATTCAGGCCCTCTGACATGGTGTTCAGCCATGAATATTCCATCAACCTCAGAAACCTTAGCTGCCAGAAAGTCCTGAGTGAGCTTCGACCACTGAATTATATTCGCAAACTTAAAATGCACATGATTAGCGACAGCAGGAGAGATCAAGGACTTGACCTCTCCTTGGTCGGGCTGCAGCCGCCCATGGGGCGGAGGAGCATTGCTAAACACGCGGCGGCACAGAAGATTGGGCGGCCTCAGAGGCAGCAGCCGCGCATGCTGCCGCAGCGCCTCCAACGCCTCCCTGCCTGTCCATCTGGGTGGCCGCGACGGTGCAGAACGTGCGGTACATGTCGCAGGTGACGGCCTGGGAAGTGCGCGCACGCTTGACCGACTTAGCCATGAGCCTCTTCTGCAACAGATCGGTGTAGTCTTTGGCGGCGGCCGCGTCCAAGCCAGCCTCGCCTGCTCTCTTCTTGAGCTCACGGAACTTGTCGCGTTCAACTTGGTCGAGCTCGTCTCCAACTTCACTGCCCAACTCAGGCGCATCCTCGGGCTGAGCGTCTCGCATACGCTGTTGGTGGGGACGATACTGTTGCCACTTCTCGAGATGGGCGCCAGAGTGGCGGCAAGTAGCTCGAGCACGGGATCGTCAAACTCATGCAGGCGGGACTCCACGTGGGCGAAGTCGACGAGACGGCCACGCAACCAAGGGATATTGTCTGCACCATCCTCCATATCGACGTCAGCATCGGCAGCGGCCGCGCCGCCCGCCACGGCCGCGCCAGGCGGGGGGAGCGCAAACCCCGCCTGCAGCGCCAGGGCCGTCGGCAGGCTGGGGGCCGCCGTCGCCGCCAGGCGGGGGGGCGCGAGCCCCGCCTGAAGCGTCGAGGCGGCCTGCGTCCGCGGCCGCCTGAGCCTGGCGCTCAGCCTCGCGCCGCTGCTCATCAATCTTGCTCTGCTTGAACATCTCGACACTGAAAGCCAACTTCCTGGAGTCGGCCTCTCGCGTCTCACGGCGAGCCACCTCGAGGTTCTGCTCCGCCATGAGGTGATTCTTCTGCATCTCCTCCATCGTAGCCTTTGCACGGTTGAAACGGTCCAACCTCCATTGCACTTCCTGGGCAGCCAATCTCTCGTTCTTGGATGCGGCCTCCACTTCTCGAGCAAGCCTCGTCTGCTCGAGCGCGGCCATCTGATCCAGCTCACAAGCCGTGAACAGGCGGACCTCTGGAGGCGCAGGCGGGGCGGCATCGCGAGCCACCCCTGCAAGGGCAGGGTAGTGAACAGCCCAGCGCTCCAACTCCTGCACAAGGTGGAGCGGCATCGGGACAGTAGCGGCGCCAGGGGCAGAAGCAGCACCGAGTCCGACTCCGCCAGGGCCACCCTGATGAGCCTGATCACCATGCCCAGGACGAGAACCATCAAGGTATTGACCACCGCACAGACTGCAAGCGCGGTGACCATGACGAGAGTACTCCCAGTGCGTGCAGAGAGAACAGACCTTGTACGAGTTGTCTTTTGACTTGACCTTCTTCTTGCCACGGGGCCCCGACTGAGGACCGCCAGCACTCTCAGGCTGCCAAACCCAAGAGCCTTTCCCTTCGCCACCAGCGACGCGCCACGGAGCACTCCGACGCCACGCCATGGCAGGACAAGAATGGAGGCTAGCGAACCCCTATCCCCAGGGCAGACTGAGGAAGGGACCTCCGTGAAGGATGAAGACTGCCGCGGACTAGCGGTATCCAGTTTGGCCAATGCGGGCTCAGCCCGCAAAAGCATCAACCTTGAGCCAAAATGGCTACGGTGTCCAAGAGGCTGAGCGCCTAGGAGGAGGAGGAGGAGGAGGAGGAGGAGGAGGAGGAGGAGGAGGAGGAGGAGGAATCTACAAAGTTCCATGTTAGGGCTACTGTGGAAGATTGTAGCGTGTTTGGAGCCTTTGAGTTCCATCCTGGTTTTCTGGGCCCTCTTCTGCTTTTCTTTGGCCGTCCAGGAAGTGCCTTTGGACAACTCGGTACTGTCGTGGCTGTCGCAAGGCGAGAGAACCGTGGTGTTTCTCCCTTGGGGATTGTCTCTTGGGACCCTCGTGTGGCTCGCTTAGGGATTGCCTGGGGCCAAATGTAACAAGCTGGGTAAGGACAATATCGTCACCGTGCCTGGGTTGTGGGTCAGAGGCCTCTTGGATGCATGTTCGGCTCTCTTGGGAAGCCTCTGTGGTGAGCGTCTTGGAAATATTGGTCCTCTGAGGGGCTGTTTGGGGGCCTCTTGGACATTCTTTTGGTTGTCTTGGGGCCATCTTGGGGGCTTCTTGGGGGCCTGCTGGCGGTCTCGGGGGCCCCCCTGGGGCGGTCTTTGGGCCGTCTCGGGCGCCTCGTGGGGCGTTTTCAGCCTCTCTTGGGCAGCCGTCTTGGGGCGATCTTGAGGGAGCAATCGGGCCGTCTTGGACGCCGTGAAGACCAAATTTGTGCATCTGTTAAAACGTACGTTTTCCGAGGGGAATGGGACGATTTGGTCCTCTTGGAGCCCTCTTGGGGGGCCTCTCGAAACTCTCTCGGGACGTCTTGGAGACCTCTGGAGCCGCCGGGAGGTTATCTTGAGCGGTCCTGGGGCGCCTCTGGGGCGCTTTTGGGCTCTTGGCAGCCTTATGGGCTGCCTGGAAGCCATCGTGGGCGCCTCTGGAGCGGCCCAAGGGCTGTCTTGGGGAGCGGCTCAGGAGGCCCCAAGGGGGGTGGACCCAGATTGAGGGTTCGAGGCCGTGGTTTCTGGGACTGAAGGTTCTCCCCCAAGAACCTTATATTTGTATATACATATGTATATGTATGTGTATGTGTATGTGTATGTGTATGTGTGTATGGACGTGTATATGTGTATGTATTTGTTTATACATACATATATATATATATATATATATATATATATATATATAAATGTAGATGTATGCATATGTATATGTATATTGATAGATATGTGTGTTTGTCTATGTGTATTTAGGTGAACATGTGTATATATGCATTTACATATATCAATGCATATGTATATATATATATATAGGAGTGTGCATGTATGTATGCATGCATGTGTATACATGTATGTATGTATGCATGTATGCATGCATGCATGTATGCATGCATGCATGTATGTATCTACACATATATGTATGTATGTATGTATGTATGTATGTATGTATGCATGCATGCATGCATGTATGTATGTTTGTTTGTTTGTTTGTTTGTACGTGTGTATGTATGTATTCACATCTGTGTGTATGTATATATATATATATATATATATATATATATGTGTATATACAGGTATGCATGCACACACACATATATATATATATGTATATATATATACATACATACATACACATATGATTGTAGGTACATAGTGCAGCACTTACGCGGAAGGCTCTCCAGAACAACGCAAGAACATGCTGGAAAGCTTCCTGCTCCGATTACGGGCGCCCTGGCAAATTCCTGGAAGTCTCTGTGCGATTCTGAAAGTGCTCCCGTCATCGGAGCAATGATGGGCGTGCTGGGGCCGTTGTGGAGCCCTGAGGGCCTGGATTAGGGTCCCTGTGGCGTGTCGGAGCTCATTTGGGGGGTCGCTCGGAGCCCTCTGGGGCGATTTTGGGCGCCTCTTGGGCCGTCTTGGCGGGTGCCTTGGGACCTTCTTCGGCGGGTCTTGTGCCGTTTTCGGGCGTCTGGCAACGGAGCAGGTGACCACACGAAAATCAATGAAAAACTGTAACTTTCGCCCCTGGAGCCTCTCTCGGGGATGAGCTTGAAGCCCTCTTGGTGCGCCTCGGGGGCTGCCTGAGCCTGCATCGGGAGAATAGTTGGCGTGCTGGGGCTGTTTCGGGACCTGTGGGCATCGTTTACGGCCCTTGTGACATGTCCGAACTGTTTTAGGAGGCCGCCCGGAGCCCTCTGGGGCGATTTTGGGTGTCGTGGGGCCCTCTTCGGCGGGTCTTGTGCTGTCTCCGGGCGTCTGGCAACGGAGCAGGCGACCACACGAAAATCCTCCGAAAACCTTCAGGAAATCAATGATTTTCGCCCCTGGAGCCTCTCTCGGGGATGAGCTTGAAGCCCTCCTGGTGCGCCTCGGGGGCTGCCTGAGCCTGCATTGGGAGAATAATGGGCGTGCTGGGGCTGTTTTGGGGCCCTGTGGGCCTCGTTTACCGCCCTTCTGACATGTCGGACATGATTTGGGAGTCCACCTGGAGCCCTCTGGGGGATTTTGTGCGTCTCTTAGGCTGTCTTGGCGCACTCTTCGGGTGTCTTGGGGCCGTCTTGAGCGTCTCTTCCGCGGTCTCTGGGCGTCGGGCAGCGGAGCAGGCGACCGCACGAAAATCCTTTAAAAAACCTAAGGACAGCGGTGACTTTTCGCCCCTGGAGCCTCTCCCGGGGATCAGCTGGAAGCTCTTTTGAGGGGTCGTGGAGGCCACGTGAGCCGTGTCGAAGCAATGGTCGGCGTGCTTGGAGCGCTGTGGTGCTTTCTGGCGCCTTAGAGGGCCCCTTTTGTTGCCCCCCGGGCCCCCTGGAAGGCTCTTTTGGAGCGCGGAGGACCGCTGGGTCTCCCATTCGAACCAGAGGCACCGATTTTGACCCCCCCGGGCCTACTCATACATATGTGTATATCTATATATATACATATATATATATATATATATATATATATATATGTATATCGACTCTCTCTCTCTCTCTCTCTCTCGCACATATATATATATATACACATATAGATATCGATATAACATATATATATACACGAAACATGTGTACATCCATGTGCACATCCATCTAGTCATATGCACATGCGCACATACATATAGGTGTATCCACACATACATACAACACTATATTTATGCACCCGTAGGTATGTATGTATGTGTGTATGTATGCATGTTTACATGCATTCATGTATGTATGTGTGTATGCACATGTGTATGACTGAACGTGTGAATGCATGCATGTATGCATGTATGTGTGTATGCATGCAAGTCTGTATGCAAGGACTTATATGTATGCAGTGGGCCTAGCTATACGCGCATGTATGTGTGCTTGCAAGTATATATACGTATGCATGCATGCATGCATGCATGCATACATTCATGTATGCACGTATGTCTACATGTCTGGCTGTCTGTCTGTCTTTCTGTCTGTTTGCTATGCATGTATGTATGTATGTATGTATGTTTGTATGTATGTATGTATGTATGTATGTATGTACATATGTATACATGTATGCATGTATGTAAGTATGTATGTATGTATGTATGTACGTATGTACGTATGTACGTATGTACGTATGTATGTATGTATGTATGTATGTATGTATTATGTATGTTTGTATGTTTGTATGTTTGTATTTATATATATACATGTGTACGTGAATACATGTTTGTACGTGTAAGAGGTGTAAACACCTCTCTCTTGCTCTCTCGCCGCCAAGAAAGAAGGTCCTTCAGGAAACGGGTTCTCGAACCAGGCACTCTCCCCAGGAAAACACCCTTCATGTCGAGTCGTCCCCCGGATGGCCCCCGGGGACGGGGTGGACGGCACCCCCAGGAGGCCTCGAGACCGGCGAGCAACCCTCAGGCTCCCATGAGAGCCCAGAATCGAATCGATAAGTCGGATCGGCAATCGAAATGAATCGGATCGGCGGAAATCGGCAGCCAAGTCGGAAAAAATCGAATCGGCAGACATGGGCAGGCAAGTGTGCCTCCAATGAGAAATCGGATCCCAAATCGGAATCCCAAGTCGAATCCAATCGATATCGGAAACCATCGAAGCCGAATCGAATCGAATCGGAAGAATCGAAACGAGCCCTGGGATCCTCTTCTTCCACGACCCTTCTCTTCACACCGGCCTTCGCACTTCGACCGTCCCAAACCTCTGCTGGGGCCAAAAGCTTATGACCAGGGAGGCACGGCGTCGGAGGCCATGCGGCACGAGGCTCCGGCCGGCTGCGGCATCCCGAAAGGGCCCCCCCCCCCCGGAAGCGCAGAAGAGGCGCACGAGGCACCCAAGAGCCCGGAAGCCGGCTGCACACAGGAGGGACCCTGGGCAAGAGTGACTTCTGGTGCGCGCATCTTTGAAGGGGCCCCGGGACACGCAAATACATAAATACACATAAATAAGGATATTCCCTATATTTTCACATATTTCTTGGGTTTTTGTCTTCCCCCCCACTTCCCATATTTCTGCATATTTTCCTGGGAGTCGGCGATTCATTGTGTCTGTGTGTTTCTTTCCCTCCTGAATCTTGGGGGCCGCTGGGGGGCCCAATCCAGGCGCGCGCGTGCCAGAAAAGGGGGGGGGAGCCCTCGTGGGCCCGCACCCGAAACGATCACCCTCGCGCGTGGCCGACGTCCGAGCAGAGCGAGCCGAGACGCCGGCAGCTCCACGCGGCGAGCTAAGCACGGCGAGTGGAGGCAGCAGGTGGACCCCGCCTCCCGGGGTCCTCACGCACCAATTTCCGAGCTGCGTCCCGCCGAGGCGACTGGGCCCCCCCCCCCCGAACGCCAACTACCGTTATCTCAACTCGCCCTCCCCTGACTGAAGGGGCCCCAGGGACACACAAATAAACACACACAAACAAAATGATTCCCCGCATTTTCCCATATTTTCTGGATCTTTGTGCTATCCCGCCCAATGCCCATGTTTTCGCACATTTTCTGGGGAGTCGACGATTCATTGCGTCTGTGTGTTTCTTTCCCTCCTGACTGACGACGAACCTCGAACCTGCTGCTCCGCTCGAGCCCGGCCGGGCTCGGGGCGTGATGGTCATCAGCTCGGAGACCTCGGCCACGCGGGCCGCGGGCACGGCGCGCTGCGACTCCCCGTCCGCCAGGTCCAGGTCGCCGTCCTCCGGCGGGGCGTGCTGGGAAGCCCAACCAGCTGGCCCTCACCTCCGACAGCACGACTTCTTGGTGAAGTGGGCCCCAGAGATTCTCGATCGCTTCCGCAGCAATGCTTTTTCTCATCCCGGGCGGTCTGTCTTCTGGGCACCCCGGGGCCCAGAACGGGCCCCTGGAGGCCCGAGTTGAGGTAAGCAGCCATCCGTCGCGATTTTTTGACTGTTTCGAAGAAGAAGCATCTGCATACACGTCAACTTTTGGAGGCGGTGCGGATTTCTTGGATCCGCGCTGGACCCCCTCCCTGGCGCGCGGAGCGCGCCAGGGGCGGCGCCAGAAGCGCCGCCAAGGGTGCCCAGCTGAGATCCGATCAATCCGCACGGAGCGCCAATGTTATGTTTATGCGATATGTTTTCTTCTTCGAATGACGCCAAGCGCGAGGGGCTCCTCCCCTCCAGCAGCCTGCGCGAGCCGTCTTCTGGGCACCCGGGGCCCGAAACTGGCCCCTGGAGGCCCGAATCGAGGCAAACAACCGGCCGTCGCGATTGCTGTGTGTCTGTTCGTGCTTTGTCTTTTCGTTTCCGCGACGCCAGGCTTAGGTCGGGCGTGTCCTCCTACAGGCGGATTGTGGACGAGAAATAAAGCGTGGTCGAAACATACTCAAAGATCGTTAAGACATCGTCCCCAGATTGTTTTTACTGTCTTTCAATATCCCTCCTGTAGAGGGACAGGCCCGACTCAACGCCAGGCGTGATAAGGGGGCTCCTCCTCCAGCAGCCGGATGTACAGAGCCCGAGCCGTGGCCTGCCGCACCGTCGGGAAGCCGTACCCCAGGAGCTCCAGCAGGGCCGCCAGCGCCCGGGGCCGCGCGGGCCCGGGCCACCTCCGGGCCGCACCCCCCCCAGGGGGTGGGGGGGCCCTCCCTGCGGCAGGTTCGCATCGCCTCGACGCGGGCGTTGGCTCCGGACACCGCGCTGCCGCTCCGCCGGGCGCGACCGCGGGCTTCCAGTGGCGCGCACGGCCCGATGTCTGCCGGTACCAGGACAGCGGCGGCCTCGAACCTTGAACGCCCGCGCTGGGGTCGCCGCCACATTGACACGACACGAACCTGCTGTACTCTCTCCTTCTTACTCTTCCTCTCCTCCTCCTCCTCCTCCTCCTCCTCCTCCTCCTCCTCTTTCGTCGTCTTCTTCTTCCTCTCCTTCCTTCCTTCTTTCCTTCCTTCCTTCCTTCCGACCTTTCTTTCTCAAGGGGCTACTTACAAAAAACGGCACGAACCTAGACTTGTGGAGGTCGCGCAGATGTCTTGGATCGGTACCGGACCCCCCTCCCCGAACCCCTCGGGGCAGGGGTGCGGGGAGGGGCAAGGTCCAGCGCCCACTCGAGAAACCTGCGCGTCTTTCCATGTCCGTGCGATCCTTCCTTCCTTTTGGTGCAGACCGTGATAGCGCGAAGAGGGAAAACGGCATGCACACAAAGGCTCGCCGGTCCGCGCGGACCGGCGGACGTGCATACTTATGCCATTTCCGCTCCCATCGACGTGAGGCCTGCGCCCCCGGGGTGTCGGCTCGGCCAACCCAAACGAGCGGAGGAGGACGCAGAGACCCGTGCGCACTCTTCTAGACGGGTGCGTTCCACTACTTGCAAAGTAACTACTCGCAAACGGCCTGGATCCGCCGCGGGGGATTTACGACAAATCACATCGAAGCAGACATGTGCTGTTCGAGCGTTTGCGAGTAGGGACTTTGCGAGTAGTGGAGCGCGCTCGGTGACCTGGGGCGTCGGCTCGGCTTCCCCAAACGAGCAGAGCAGGACGCAGAGACTCGAGCGCACTCCGCTGGGGAACCCGCCCTCTTCAGAGATTCGTGCGCACTCCGCTGGGGAACCCGCCCTTTTGGACGCCCGATATGGGCACGGAAAGAATGGGCACAATGCCCAACAACAAATGCTGTCCCAAACCAACAGCGGCCGCTGTTGGCTGGGCGGCCTCCTGTCTCAAACGGACACAGGCCGCGGCGGCGCGGACAGCGAGTCCTGTCCACAAGGAACAGGAAGGGCTGCTGGGCATCGTGCTCCTCTTCTTTCCGTGCCCATCTCGCTCGTGCAGAGGCTAAAACAAGGCTGGGATCGGGATAAATCGCTCCAGAGCGTTCCGGAGCGCTCTCAGAGCGTTCCGGAACGCTCTGGAGCGGCCGCGGCGCCCAATACATCCTCCAAACCCGCCGATTCTCAGAGATTGCGAGTTATCCCGATCCGATTTTGTCCCGATCTTCGCGTCGTTTGAGCAGAGGCCCTCTTCTGGCCCCGGCTCCTCCTCGCGAGGCCGGCGTGCCGCGGGGCGCTCCGCTCCGCTCCGCTCTTCCCCTCCGGCGAGCCGGCTCGCCCGCAGGGAGGCGTGCGCGGCTGCCGCCGGGGGAGGCCGCCCGCGTGCCCCCGCGCGGGGGGCGCGGCGTGCGGGGAGGCGCGTGCTGCGTGCGCAGGCGCGCCGTGGCCGCAGGCGCGTGCTGCGTGCGCAGGCTCGCGCGTTCGGTTCCTTGGCTGAGCCGTGTGTTTCGGTCCAAGGGGGTCCTGGCGGGACTGCTCGGCGGCCGCGTCGGTCCTGCCAGCTGCCCGTGCGTTTCGTGAGCGGGAGGTTTCCTGTCCACGCGCGTGCCTCGATGGATGGCTTCTCGTGGCGCTGGTCGGGCCCCGAGCCCGAGAGCGGCAAGCGAGTCCCTGTCGCTGCTCGGGAGCTCTGCCACCCTGCTGGCCACCACGGCAGGGGCCCTGGGACACCCCAATCAGTAGGCACAAGTAACCAGAGATTCCCCCATATTTCCCCACATCGCCTGGATTCTCGGCTTCCCCCCCGCGGCCCCTATTTTCCCCCCCATATTTTCTGGGGAGTCGACGCTGAACTGTGTCTGTGTGTTTTTTCCCCTCCAGAGCTGCTCGGGGAAAGTGGTGATGCCGATCCTGTTTCGGTGGGTTCCTCCGCTCCGCGCTGAGGGGTGGCCGGGATGTGCTCCCGAGAAGGAGCTGAGTGTTGCGGCTTGCCCGAAGCGGCCTCCAAATGTGCGGCCCGCTCCCCTCCCTCCTGCCTCTTTCCTGCTCCCCACCTTGTCGTCGTCGTCGTTGCTGTGGTTGTCGTCGTTGTGGTCATGGTCGTGGTCGCCGCCGCCGCCGCCCCCGTCGTCTTTGTCGTCGTGGTCGTCGTGGTGGTGGGAGTGGTGGTGGTGGTCGTCGTCGTCGTCGTCGTCGTCGTCGTCGTCGCCGCAGCCGCCGTGGTCGCCGCAACCGCCGTGGTCGCCGTGGTCGCCGTGACCGTGGTCGTGGTCGTCGGCGCTCGTCGGGGGAAGGAGCGCGCGCCAGGGCCTCAGCAGCCCCACGAGCACGTCCACGGATGCCCTCAGCCTCGTGATGTCCTGCCGCCCCCTCGCGCGCGCGCAACGAGCGCACGGGCGCCAAGCGGCGGCCACGTTGGCGTGTGAAGTATACAGGGCCCGATGGAAGCGGGTCCTGGACCTTTGGGGCCTTCCCCCAGGACCTGTTTGCTATCCTGACAATTTGTTTTGACGGTCCTGGGGCCTGTGCAGGGTCCTGGGAGGCCACAAATTACGAAAAACCTCAGAAACCGTTTTGCTCAGTACCCGTCTGATTCATGCCGAGACTTTCTCCCATGGCGACTTCGACCAACGTTCGGGGGGGGGCCGGCGCAGGGGAGGAAACACCGAGCTGGAATCGGCGATACATCGCCGATAATTCGGCGATAAGCCTCCGATAGTGAGGCCGTGCGGTCTTTGGCGGGGTGGGCTATCTGGCCCCGCTCAACGATCAGTTGGCAATCGGTGGCTGATGAACCCCCCTTGACGCCTACCCTCCCCCCCTCGCGTTGCCCCTGGCCCCCTCTGCCAGCAGGAGTGCCAGGCGGTGCTGACCATCCCTGGGCCACTTTTTGCTGGCCTGCGCGGCCGCCATGACTCTTCGCCAGGGGCACGGGGGCCACTGGAATTCTTGGCAAACGGCCTTGGCATTTGCCCGTGGTCCGGTGGGCCGCCTCCGGCTTCGCCTAAGAATCGGGCCGAATGCCGTCCACACTTGGGGAAACCAACAAATACCGGTACCGCTGCCCCCTGGACCCTCCCAGGGTGCTGTCTGTTCAGGATTTCGAAACGAATCCAGGAGTGACGACGAAGGCCTAGCGTACTCGGAACGTTTCCCTTCTCTTAGCAATGATCTACCTCTCCACTTGCCCCGGAACCCCTCCTTGCTGGCCCGCACGGCCGCCAGGACTCGCTCGAGCAACGCGCCCGCGCTCGCGCGCGGGAAGCAACCCTCGGCCAGCAGCACGCCCACGGCGCCGAGGAGCGGTGCCAGTACCCTCCTGGCCTCCTCGTGTGGGGGGGAGGAGGGAAGAGTAGAGGGAGGGGGGCTGATGATGATGGTGATGATGATGATGATGATGCTGCTGATGATGAATACGAAGCTGATGATGATGATGATGATGATGATGATGATGATGATGATGATGATGACGATGCTTCTGATGCTGATGATTATTATGATAGTGATGGTGCTGGCGACATTGATGATGATTGTGATTATGATGATGACGGTGCTGATGATGGTGATGATTGTGATGGTGCTGACGACGATGGTGATGCTGATGGTGATGTTTTTTTTCCGTTGGGGAGACTGACGATGGATGACAGGTCGCCCATGCTTTCAGCAACCTGGTGAATGGCAACCTAGAAAACACTTTGTCATGGTATGGTCAGTAAAACCACGGGCGCCCCGATACGGCTCCCACCACAGGTATGCAGCATCACCTAGGACAGCACAGCCCGCGTCATCCTCCAGGCTGTGCCACCCTCTAGCCGAAGGTAGACCACTGAAGCCACTCCCAGGGAGCAAAGGTGTGTAGCGTCACCTGTGGCAACGCAATATGCGCTATCAGCCAGGCCGTGCCACCGGCAAGACGCAGGTAGTCCACCGAAGCCACTCCCTCGGCGAAGGCGAGTAACACTCTGGGAGCAGAGGTGTGGGGCGTCACCTGTGACACCGCAGCCCCGCACCATCAGCCAGGCCGTGCCTCCCGCAAGCGTGGGAAGACTACCGAAATCACCATTTCGAAAAGAGGCTACGTTCCGCGTAACACCGTCAAAACCGATCCCTCTAATTCGGCCACCTGCAGACTCTAAGACCAAGAGGGCCCTCGCGACAAAGCGCATCGAGAAGAGAAGGGCGAATGCCGCGGAGCGGCACAACTCCAATCTCCCGAAGCAGCTGCCTTCAGAGGGCCGTCTCCGAAACAGGTTCAGAACCAGGGAGAGGCTCCTGACGAACAACATCAGCAGGAAGAAGCTCACCACATACCTCAAGATTCAATGCCTCCAATTCCTATCTTGGGTGAAAGCCGTGCCCGGCTCGAGCGAACATAGCCATCATACCTCGGCAAGAAAACCACATCTAGCCGCGAAGCAATCGCCTCGAGCAGCTCACGAAAAAACGCCGCGACTTACGCCCGAGAGGGATGCACACCAACGCCAGGTTTGGTAAGAGCAAATGCATTGTAAACAGCATCTGGTACATCACGAACTGGTACGTCGCAGGCAACGCCAAAGACAACATCGTGTGCCACATCGTGTAGAGCATCAGGAACGGCACGACCTGGCACAGCAAAGTAAACAGCCCGAACAGGTACAACACCGTGAGCAGCATCGTGAACATATCAACATGAACACATACACCAGCGTCGTGCGCCGCAACAGGTACAACACGAACGAGGACACCGCGAGCAGCATCGCGTACAACACCAGGTGCAGCACAAACTTGTCCAGCATCACGGACAGCACGAACTTGTACAGCATCGGCTGCGGTATCGTGTATAGCACGAACTGGAACATCGTGAACAGCATCTTGTGCAGCACGACCTGGTACATCGCGATCAGCACCGAATACACTATCTAGGGCACCGCGAGCATGTACAGGAAGTTCCGCGCGTACAGCGGCCTGTGCGTCGCAACCACAGTATCCACCACCAGGGAGGAAAGCAGGAGCCTCGGAGTTGAAGGGAAACATCTGCACATTTGGGAATGCCAGTGGTAGAGTAGGCCATGCCTCACCCCCTGCCGCAAGATATCGTTGACGTGGCGCCTTGTGCGGTCGACCAGGCGTGGACCAGGGATCGCCTGAACCTGTATGCCAACGGTCTGGGCTTTGCCGTTGTCCTCGAAAGTGGTCACCCTCGCCGCCTTGAGGTCCACGGGCAGGCGGATGATCTTGATCAGGACCAGGCTTGTCGTCGTCGTCGTCGTCGTCATCATCATCATCATCATCATCCTCATCCTCATCCTCATCCTCATCCTCATCCTCATCCTCATCCTCATCCTCATCCTCATCCTCATCCTCATCCTCATCCTCCTCCTCCTCCTCATCATCATCATCATCATCATCATCATAACTGTCGTCATCATGCTGTTCGCAAGAAGCACCAGGAGCACGACGCAGTAGGAGAGAAATGTGAGCCTCACCGTTGCTCTTTTTTGTGGCCGTGGTCGACGGAGATGCTCTCATGCAGCCTGTGAGCCACGGCAATGATCACATCGATGAGGGCGCATCACGTGAACCAAAAGACGATTTCAGTGGGACGAAAGTCGGACTCGACCCAGCCGCTCCTCGCGCAGCTGCCTGAAGATCCAGCCAAGCCGAATGGCAACCACCAGACGCGCGCGCCGACGGAGCTGCAGGTGTAGCAGGAAGGCCTTTGACCCAGGCAAGCGTTTGAGCCCAAATCGCGATGATGCTGCTGCTGATGATGATGATGCTGCTGCTGCTGATGATGATGATGATGACAATGCGGATGGATGATGCTGATGCTGCTGCTGATGATGATGATGATGATGATGATGATGATGATGGTGCTGATGCTGATGCTGCTGATGATGATGGTGATGATGCTGATGAAGGAAAAACGGGGGAGTGTGGGATCCCTCGGGGTCGAGGGCGTGCCCGCGAGAGTTGGCGCGTGCGTCTGTGAATGCTCTGCGTGCTCTGTGGCGTCCGCCTCTCCCTCATCTTCCTCCTTCTCCTTATCCTCCGTCTGTTCCTCCTCCTTCTCCTCCTCCTCCTCCTTCTCCCACCCCCTGCTTAGCCCCGCCCGGCCCCTGCGAAGTCCGGCTAAACCCTGCTAGTCCCTGGTAAGTCGTCGTGGGCACTGCCAGCGCCTTCTAAACACTTCGGAGCCCTGTCAGTCCCTGCTGCCAAGTCGCGTTGAGGAGCCCTTCTCGCGCTCTGCAAATCTACGATATGCGCTGCTAAGCTCTGCTAGGCGCTCCTAAGCCATGCTGAGCTTTGGTAAGCCCTGCTGGGCCCTGATATGCAATGCTAACTCCCGCTCGGCGCTGCTACGGCGTGCCATGCCATGGTAAGCCTTGCGAAAACCTGCGACGCCCTCTGAAGCCCTGTTCCACTCTCCTCAGCTCTGACCTGCCATATTCGCCCCTGCGAAGTCCTGGTGAACTCTGCTCTGCCCTGGCAACTCTGCTAAGCCAGAGGATTGCCCAACGTATGTCTGGTGAGCCATGCCAGGCCCGGTTAAGCCCTGGTCCTTGTAAGCCCTGCTTCAGATGTGCCTAGCCCCGCCATGGCCAGCCACGCCCTGCGAGGGTCAGCAAAGCCCTGCCAAGCTTGGCCAAGCTCCGCGACGTCCTGCTGGACTCCGCCAGGCATTGCTTACCACTGCTCGGCCACGCTCAGTGCTGCTACGCCGCGGTAAGGCATGCGAAGCACTGCTAAGCCTGGCTCAGCCTTGCGGGGGCCTGCGACTCTCTGCAGAGCCATGTTCATCTCTGCCGGGCCAGACTTTGCTCTGCTAGGCACTGCTCGGGCCTAATCTGACCTGCTGGGCTCTGACATGCCATGGCCGGCCATGCTCAGGCCCCGATAAGCCATGACATGGCGTGCTGAGGCGGAGTCTGCCCTGCTGCGCTGTGCCCGGTCCTCCTCAGGCATGCTCGGCCCTGCTGAGCTGTGATGAGCCATGCTAATCCCTGGTAGGCAAAGTCTTGCAGGCGTTGCTTAGCTGTGCGAAGCCCTGGTGCGCCTTGCTAAGTTGTGATAGGCTCTGCTTAGTCCTGCTGCGGTCTGTTACGCTTTATGTGCCCTGCTAGGCTCTGCCAGGCCTTGCAAAGCTCTGCTGAGCCTTGCCAGGCCATGCTATGCCTTGCTGAGCCCTGATTAATTCTGATCTGCCATGCTAGGCCTTGCGGCGCCTTGCCAGGTCCTGCGTTACCTTGCTACGACATGCGTACCCCTGCTCAGCCATGCTAAACGCGGTCAGGCCCAGATGCGCTCTGCTAAGCACTGATCGGGCATGCCAGCCCCTTCTCGGCTCTGTAGAGCCTTGTCAGGCCATGCTCGGCTCTGCTGGGCACTGCTGAGCTCTGCTCAGTCATGACATGCCCTACCAGGCCCTGCGACGCCCCGCTGAGCCTTGCGAGGCCCTGGCCAGCCCTGCTGAACCCCGCAGCGCTTTGCAGAGCTTTGTGAGCTCTTCTGAGGCCCGACGAACTATGTGGAGTAGTACCGAGCGCTTCAAGGCCGGGCTGGGCCCTGCCAAGCCCTTCTTGAGCCTTGCTAATCCTTGCCCAGCCCTGCTATTGACTGGCATGTCCTGCTTAGCTGCGGTAGACCTGAGCTCCGGCAGGCGTTGCTAGGTCCTGCTAAGGTCTGCAATGACCTGCCATGCCATAGCAAACCCTGCTGCATCATGCTCAGTGCTGCGACATGCTGCATAGCCCTGGTAAGTACTGCTCGGCTCCCCGCTAGGTACTGCGAAGCTCTGCGGGCAAGTGCTAAGCCCTGCTAGGCCATCGTGAGCGCTCGCCCTGGTAAGCTCTGGTAAGCAGTGCAAAGCCTGCTAAGACTGGCGTCTTTGATGGGACTTGCTAAGCTCTGCTCGCTCCCTCCTAAACACTGTTCGTCCCAGCCAAGCCGTGCTAGGCCCTGTCAGGCATGCACGTCCCAAGCTTGCGCGTTTCATGTTCGCAAAAAAAGGAGACACAAGCAGAGAGAGAGAGAGAGAGAGATGAGGAGAAATACAGAGACATAGAGAGAGCGAGATGCTATACTGACACTGATGAAGAGAGAAGGTGGCAACTAGTGACACTCGCTTGGAGCACCGAAGAACTCCACAACCCCTGGCCTCAAAGAAGAAGACATAATTGCCAGTGCGGTACCGTTATCGTGACCTACTACTCTCTTCCCCGCCAAGCGGCCATCGCCGCGAGAAGAGGGTCTGGCAGCGTTCGTGTGACGAATTCGGATGCCATCAGGTGCCAGATGCCAGGAAGAGGAAGGGGTGGAGGAGGCGGAGGAGGGGGAGGAAGTCGGGGTAGAGGGGGGGGGGGGCGGAGGCCTAAACGCGGTCGGAGTTCAGAAAGACATGAGGGGGATGCACACCCGACTTGTTTGGCTGCTGTCCCGAGGGGCGGGGAGGCGGTGCTGAGGGGAGGCTGCAGCAACGCTCAACGATGTGCTGTTAATCGGGCCTGCAGGGTGGGCCCTTTCCTGGTCTGTGCACTTCACGCCTTCAAATGTGGTGCATTTCGAAACGCCTTCGGGCCACCTAACCTGAGTCGTTTTCTTCGCATGCGCGGGTGCATCCCTCTCCTCTTGATTACATCACCCCCTACTTTTTCCTCTTCCTCGTCGTCGTCGTCGACGACGTCGTCGTCCTCCACCTCCTCTTCCTCCTCCTCCTCCTCCTCCCACTCCCACTCACTCAACCTCCTCATCCACTTCCCCCTCCATCCACTTCCTCCTCCTCATTCACTCCCTCCTCCTCACCTACTCCTCTTCATAGTTCTCTTCTCTTCGTTTGCTCCTCCTTCTCCTCTTCTTCCTCCTCTTTCCCTTCCTCCTCCTGTTCCTCCCCCTCCCCATCTTCCTCTTCCCCTCCTCCTTTTCCTCCTCCTCCTCCTTCTCTCTCTTTTCTCCTCCTCCTCCTCCCTGCTTCTCTCCTCTTCCTCTTCCTCCTCTCCCCTCCTCCTCCCGCTCAATCTCCTCCCCCCGTCCCTCTTCTCCCTCCTTCCCCTGCTCCTCCCCTGCCCCCCTTCCCCTACCCCTCTCCCCCCCCGGACCCCTGCTCGAGATGGGCCGCGTCGGGTCGCAGTCCTTGCTGGAGTCCTTGCAGCCCACCTGGCGCGGAGCTGTGCAGCGGACCGCGGGGGTGCCCAGATCGCCCAGGGGGGGATGTGGCGCAGCATGGATTGGCCTGCCGCTCAATGCCACAGGGCAGTCTGTCACCACACGGCTTAGCCGCCCGCCCCGATACGCAACAAGCCACACGTAGCGTGTTGGAGCGGAGCTCAACACGTAGACTGAGCACGTGCGTCGGGCGCGACACGGTCGCCACAACGTGGGCCAAGCAATGCCGAGCCAACACGCACCGTGTGAACACGGTGTTGCGCTCCAGCACGGGCGTGTCTGGGCACCTGCGCATCGGACAATCTGCCACCTCACGGCCTTGGGCCCCGTGGCCCCCGGCCCGATGCGATCACGCCCCCGAAGCTTCCGCAGAGAGCAGCACGCAAGGCGCGCCTGGGCTCGTACGATGCCACCGGCCTTCTTAAACGGCCCCCCCTTCCCTAGACAAGCACGTTCCACTAGTTACTCGCGGAGAATCTACTTGCAAATGGCCTCGGTCCGCCGCGAGGGATGTACGATACATCTGTATGTATATATACTTATATATACATAAGTATAGTTATATGTATGTATGTATGTATGTATGCATGCATGCATGCATGCATGTATGCTCATGCTTATGTTTATGTATGATGTATACATACATACATACATACAAACATACATACATGCATGCATGCATATATATATATATATATATATTACATCGAGACAACAAACTATTAGTCGACTGTTTTCGAAGCCCAGGGAGAGGTCGGGCGTGCCCTCCTACAGGCGGATTTTGGACGAGAAATAAAATATAGTCAAACAAGACTCAAACATGGTCAAACATAGTCGAACAATCGTCCCCAGACTATTTTTTGACAATTTTCGAATCTGCCTCCTGTAGAGGGACGTGCCCGATGTAAGCCAATCCAAGAAGCGAGTCGCTGTGAAGACACAACATGGTGCAAAAAGGGAAAGTGCCGAGGGCTCTGGGGGGCCCGCGCCGTGAACGAAGAAAAAAACATTCAAGGGAGCCAAGTCAACACAAAACATAATTTCCAATCAACGCAAACCATCATTCCCGCAACAAAAATTAATTTCCGCAAACGAGCCGTCACCTTCCCCCCAACGGCTCAAGGGTGCCGTCACCTTGCCCCCAAAATCACAATTTCCCCAAACGGCTCAAGGGGGCCAGGTCACCTTCCCCCCAAAACATAATTTCCAGGGCCAATCAACCCCTCCCCCTCTTCCTTCCCTCGAGGAAAACAAAAACTACAGACGCGTAAACTTTCGGAGCTCCGCGCTGGAGTCCGTTCCCGGCGCACGGAGAGCGCCAGGGATGGCGCCGGAGCAGCCGCCAGTGGGTTCCAGCGCAGAGCCCACAAAACCGCGCGGAGCTCGGACATTTTTTTTTTTTTTTTTTTTTTGTTGTTGTTGTTGTTGTTGTTGTTGAACATTATTTATTCTAAAGAATAATTATTGTTGGGCCCCCTGGTGCGCGCCCCCCCTGCGCCGCCTAGGCCGCAGCTACATTTTCATCATTTTCGTGAGGAAGCCTCAGAAAAGAGGGTGTGTACAGGATCCGGTTGTTTTGTTGTAATCCGCTTTCCCTTGCAAAAAACAATAGAAAATGACATTTCTTGTTCTAATATAATCAAATTTCAAGAATCCCTTGCAAAAAATAAGGTAAAGTGGACATTCGCGCGCGCAAGACGAAATCCTTCCAAAACCTTAGTGTTCGCAGCGATTTTAACATAAAAACATCAAAAAACCAATGGTTTTTCAACAAAAAATTGTCAAAATCTCATCCCGCGCGCTCTTGCGGATTCGTAGGAAACCCAACACTTTTTAAACATTTCTGTCAAACGGGCTTTTGCGAGCAACTTTTTCGAACTTCTGCGACAACGGTTGCGCACCTGCCAGGGCCATCATCCCTGTCAAATAATACCATGCGGGACACATTCGTTTTTTCTTCGCGCGCGCACGCCGAAATCTCCAAAAACCATTGGGCTTCTTAAGAATTTAGCACCGCAGATGTTCTGTGGAAGGCTTAACAACTTCTGTGGGTTAACAAGGCTTAACAACTTCTGTGGGTGTACGAACGTAGGCTTAACAACTTCTGTGGGTGTGTACTCCACGCCAGTGTAGTAGCCACGGTCGTCCGCAGGCCACGAAGTGAAGTGTCCGAACGTCATAGGGCGGGAAGCTGGGTGTGGGTGGTGGCGAAGAGTCGTGTGGATATTTGGTAGAGCTTGCACTGCCCCCCCACAAAGTGGGGGTATTGGCTGGCGTCGCATGAAAACCCTGGCACTGGTGAGAACACTGAGCGTTCGGGTAAAGTGATTGTTGTTGTTGTTGTTGTTGTTGTTGTTGTTGTTGTTGT